GGCAGCGCGAGGAGGCGGCGGCGGCGGCTGCCGCGAAGGAGGCGGCGAAGACGAAGAGCCTCGCCGAGCGCTTCATGGAGGCGACCGACGAGCTGGTCAGGTGGAATGCGGCGGCGCCCAGCCCCCGCTTCGGCGGCGCTGCCCGCAGCGAGGCGGAGTGGCAGAATCAAGAGGATAGGCTCGCCGCGCTGGAGTCGCTTGTGCATCTGCTCCAGGGCGAGCTTAACGAGGAGCGCCGCAAGCTGGCGGCCGTGCTGAGCGCGGTCGAGCAGTGCAACCTGAGCGAGGACGAGCGGCGCCAGCTGCGGGCCGCCGCGGCGCCGCCGCAGGCCGCGACGCCCGCCTCGTCGTCGCCGCTGAAGCCGGTAGAAGACGCGGCGAAGGACGACAGCGGCGCGGCTCACGGCGACGACGAGGCCTGCAAGAGTGAGGCCGACGAGGCCACGCGGGAGCCGTCGTTGCCCGCGGCGGCGCCACGGCCCGAGGACGCGCAGAACAAGCCGGTGTCTGTCGTTAGCACCGCCTCCTCCGCTGAGAATGACGGCTGGACACGTGTGTAGGCTCCCGCGGGCGCTTCCAGTCGGTGGTGTTTTTTTTTGCTGCCCCCTCTTCTACTCCTCCCCCTCTTCTACTCCTCCCCCTCTTCTACTCCTCCCCCTCTTCTACTCTTCCCCCTCTTCTATTCTTCTCCCTCACATATAAATAAAGAAAGAAAAAAATATATCTTTACTTATTTATATGTCTGCCTGTGCCTACACATACACACACACACGCACACACACACACGTGTATATCTGTGTGTGTATATGTGTGTGGTTGCATACGTGCATTTATACGGGTCACTGCGTGCGTGCGTGTGTGTGTGTTTTGTTTTTGTTTTTGAGCCTGCCCCCTCCTCCTCAACGGCATACGCACAGCCACGCACAGAGGCACAAAAACCGAGGCCGGAGAGACGAAGTGACAGCGACGACAGGAGGGAGGGGGGAAAAAAAGGAAAGAAAATGAATCAACATCACCGAAAGGAAACAACAGCAAAAAAAAATATGCAAAAGAGAAAAAGAAAACAACAACAACGAGAAATATTGCATTGCATTGAGATGGATGTCTACAATGTGCATCTTCCGTCGGGCGTAGCTTCCCTTCTCCCCCGTTTCTCCGTTGCCCCCTTCCATCGTGCCGCTCCCCCCCGCCCTCCCCAGACTCACTAGCACGGTGCTTTGGGGCCTCCACACGACAACTGTGCGGGTGCGGATGCGGGCGGCCTGGCCGGGGGCGTCGTGAAAAACGCTTCCGTCATGGGCATTTGATGTTGTTTACTTTTCACCCTAAATGTTTTCTTCTGCTTTATTGTTTATTATTGTTTTTTTTTTTTTAAGTTTCTCTTCCACGTCGTCCGGCACTTAGTCTTGCGCCCCACTCCCCTCTTTCTCTCTCCCTCCTGCTTGCGTGTTTCTTTCCCCTAGTATGTACTCCAGTGCCAAAGTGTCCTTTGCGGTGAACTGCCTGCTGCCACTACCGCAGAAGTGACTCTGCCCGCGTCGTAGCAGCATGCCTCTCGACATGTTTTGTTTGTGTTTGTCTTGACGCTTTTCTCACTCCCTTTTTTTTTTTCTTCTCTCTCCGTGTGTTTCTTCCCTCCGTGCACCGCACTCTCTGTGGGGGGGGCGGACATGAGAAAAAAAGGGGCTGTAGGAAAGCGGCGGCCAAGCAGCAACCAGAGCAAACGAAAAGAGAGGGAAGGAAACAGGGCAGCGGAGGGGAGTGGGATGCTGCTATGCAAGCAGCCGGGGGACACGGGCGTCTTTGCAACGGCAACACGGTCCAATATCAGAATTTACAGTTTCTCCTCGACATCCCAGCTGCTGCAGGAAGCAGAGGGAGCAGCAGCAGCGGAGGCAACCGCAGCGGCAGATGGCGCCCTGCAGGCCGAGGCCAACACAGCGGGGAATGAGTGGGAGAGTGCAGCAGCGGAGGGAGCGCTGGGCGGTGCATCTGTGCGCACCGCTTCGGCAGGTCCCGCCGCGTCCTCCGCAGCCTTTGGGAGGAAACGATGGGGCAGGCCGCTTGGCGCGGCATGCGCCATTTCGTTATGGCAGTTGCGTGACGCCGAGACTTTTAGCGTGGCCGTCGACGGGGCACAGGGGGCTGGGCGACTGTACATGTCGCGCCTGCAATGCAGGCCAACTGGCGGGCGAAGTGTCCGGGGGGACGACCAAACCAATGTGCCGCTGAGCCTCTCCTTGAGCTGCGCACAGGGGGATGCGTTACGGTTTTTGTACTCCGGCAGAGGCGTAGGGGCTTGGATCGGCGCGGAGAACACGTTGTCCGCGCTGTACACCACGGCGGCCGGTGAGACGTCGTACGACGTCCCCTACCTCAACCACGGGGCGGAGATTGTCGCCTCTGGCTGGGACCCACTCAACGCCGCCGTCCTCGCGGTTGGTAGGCGCAGTGGCGTCGTGCAGCTGCTGAACCTTGAGGGCGGCAACGGGGTGAAGACGTCCATGTTGCCCCATTCGACAGCACCAGCAATGGAGGCCTCGAGCAGGAGCAGTACCACTCAAACGCAGCTTGCTGCATCAACTGCGTACACCAGTGCCCCAACGCGAGCTGCGGAGCTGCTCCCGGTCTCGGCGTTGTCCGTCAGCGTGGTTCAGGAGCGCCCGCTGAGGGGTGCCTTGACGTCGCTAGATTGGGCGCCGCACAGTCACACAACGGTGGTGGCCGCCGAGCGCGCGGACGGCATTGGGCACTGCGTGGAGGTGATGGACCTGCGTTCCCCGGATAACGGCATTCGCTACCTTGGCATGCCCTTTGAGACCACCAGTGCCCCCTCGTCTGCGATGAATGAGTCCGGCGCTGGCGCCCCCGTCTCTGCCATTTGCTACGCAGAATTTGTTGCCTGTGACCACGCGGGCGTTTACGTGGCGACGGTCGGCAGCCAACGCCGTCGGGATGTCGCGCAGCTGTGGGACCTGCGCATGACCTCCAGGCACGTCTGCCAGCAGCTGCACTCACGCGCGGGGTACACGTCGCTGAGTTGGTCTATGCATGCGGTCCCCACCGTTGTCACGACAACGCGGAGTGGCGGGCTGCGGGTGCACGTCTTCGGCGACCTTCGCGCGGACTCCGACGAGGAGGAGCGGGCGTCGTCGGGGCGGAGCAGCAGTCGCGCCTCCGGGCGCCTCTTTGCCGCGCCGTTTCCCGCCCCCCGCGTAAGGCGCGCCCCAAAGCCGTTTGAAGGGCGCTTCTACCTACAGCCGCGTGTGCCGGCGGCGGCGGCGGCGTGGCTGGGCGACCGCCGCTCCCACGCTGGAGGCTTGGGGGGCGCAACAAGCGACGAAAACGGGGCGGGCAAACAGGGCGAGGCAAAGGCCCGCAACAGCCCTTCCCACCACGTGGCGGCTGGCAGTCGCACCGACGTCCCTTGCCTCCTTCTGCTCAATGCAAAGACGGGGGAACTGTATCCGCAGGTGTTTTCTCCGGTGGGCTGCAGGACAACGATGCTGGGGGACTTTCCACTCTGCAGCGCTGGGCCCAACCTGTTCGCTCTGGACGCGCGCGCCTCACTCGGACGCCGCCCAGAGCGGAGACCCGCAGAGCACGAGAGGACCAGCGTTAACAACAACAGCATGGGCGATGCGAGCGCCCACAACAACTACGACCTTGGCAGCGAGACGGAAAAGTGTGGTTCCTCTCTTTACAATTTGGCGGAAAGCCCAACGTCAAACAGTGCGAGAACGAGCCTTCTTGCCACGACTGCCGCCACCGGTGCATTGTTGATTGGCCTCACTCGCGTGGACCGCTGCCTGCGCCGCCTGGATCGCCTCCGCGCTGGTTTCTTGCCGCAGTCGAACAAAGTCTTCTTGGTTCTCCTAAAGGAACAAACTGACCGCGAGGCGTACGTGCTGTTCCGCTACGGCTGGTACATGCAGCGGTACCTGCACCCGGGTAGGGCGACGCTGCCGGTGCCGGACGCCGTCCCTGGAATACTGGAGTGGTTGGAGCAAGAGCAGCGTGGCCGCGCGGGCGCCGCGGCGGAGGCGGCTTCGGAGGTGAGCAACCTCATTTTGTGTGCGATGGGGTGGGTGACCAACCCGCAAGAGGAGCAGCTGATGCTCACGCCTCCTGGCGGCAGCGGCGGGTCTGCGGAGAATGCGGCGGAGCTGCCAGGCCGGCAGGTCTTTTCGTCGCAGGCGCTACCCACGGGGCCGCCGCCGCCGCAGCAGCAGCGGCAGCAGCAGCAGGCGCGTGAGAAGAGCACGGCGGTGTCCCCAAGCTCGTGCTCGCATTTGAGCGTCGACGAGGTTGTGGAGGCGGCGGGCCCGATTGCGTCCACGCCTCCCCAGGGGCCCGCCGCCCCTCCTTTCGCCCCACTGGACCCCGTCGACCGCGTCGGGATGGCCTCGCTGCAGGAGGCGGTGGAGCGGCGGGTTGCCATCCTGGTGTGCATGTACCGCCTGGCCGAGGCCTCGGCGCTGCTGCTGAGCTACGGCCACCTCAACCCTCTCTACCCGGCCCTCGCCCTTGTGTTGCTGGCGGCGGCGAGCCACGACGAAGTTCCACCGACGCTGACGCTGGACGTCTCAGAGTGCAGTTTTTGGATGGGGGTTTGTTTCTCCTTCTTGGGGACCTTTCGCACGCCCGCCGCCGCCGCCGCCGCCGCGGCGGCTGCCGGCGAGGAGCACAGAGGGAGCGGCTACGACGCCCGTGGGGGCGGGGGCGGGGGCCGTGACGACGGTGGCATCGGCGACTTGTATCGTTTTCCGCTTCCCATGCGCCGCGAGTGCCTGGCCTTCTTGACGCGCTGGTTTCCGCAGCTCCCGTTGCCGGACCGCATTGCCCTTGCCACTCTCCTGCTGCTGGATCCCGCGCCCACGGCCCCTTGCGACGAGCCATTCCACGCCCTCAGCGAGGTTCTGCGGGCGATGCTGCAGCAGCAGTTTGACGCGGGTGCGGCGGGGGGCTGCTCGCTGCTGTTGGCGGCCGCCGTTGAGGGGCTCGGCGGCAACGGCGTTTCCCTGCAACGGTACGTGGACGAGACATGTGACGTGCAGACCCCCGTGGCGTACGCTGCGCTCTACGGCCCCGGTAAGAGCGCCTCATGGCGTTTCTGGAACGATGCGTACCGCAGCCAACTCAACGCGGAGGGGCACGCCATTCTGCGGAGCCTCCACGATCTCAGCTGCAAAAAACTGGCGCGGCTGCGGGAGCAGCGGGGGGTCTCGTTGGCAAAACAAGACGCCGCCGCGCCGCCTCTCGGTCGGCTGGATGGATTTTCTTCGCCGGTCGTTAGTTTGATGGGGGTGCCGTTCAGCGGACTGGTGGCGGGCGGCGCCGCGGCGGAGGCAAAGGCAAAACCGAAGCGAACGAATAGGCGCAACGTGGAGCTACGCTGCAAGTGCGGGCAGATCGTCCCAACGGCCCCGATGGAGCCTTCGTCGTCGGCGGCGGCAGCAGCGACAGTGGGGCGTCGTCAGCAGTCATTGTGTGGCTGTCCGAACTGCTTAACCCCGATGTGCGCCGTCTGCGGGGAGCAAATGTTTGCGCTCGCGAGCGGCTACGACGTTGCGACGTCGTACACCTGGTGTACTGTGTGCCTGCATGGGGGGCACTGGTCGCACCTGCGCGATTGGTTTGCGAAGCACAAGACGTGCCCGGCGGAGGGATGTCCCTGCCGTTGTTACTGCCCCCCGTTGCCGCCATGAACTCTGGCTGCTTTCTTTTTTTTTTTTTGCCGGATTCGATATCGACTTGATGGCCGCACCTCTTTTGCCTCCTCCTTTCCCCTTCGTTGCTTCATGCTTGTGTGTGTGTGTGTGTGTGTGTGTGCGTGTGTGGCAGCGCCGCTGCTGCCGCTGCGGGGTGCCAGCGTCCTCCCGTTTCTCTCAGCTGCGCGCAACTATGCGCCCGGTGCAGACGGCACCTCCCTGCTTTGCCTTCTCTCCCCGTGCTAACTCCAAATGGCACAGGCCGTCTCGCTTGTTCGGTAGTCGTCAGGCGGCTGACTAGGGAAGCAGAACAGCAGAGGGAGGAAAGTGGGGAGTAAAGAACTTCCTCTGCGTGTGTGTGTGTGTGTGTTATATATATATAAGCGGGGCAAGGGAAATTGAACGAGAGGAGGGAATGAAGTACTTCGCGTGTCAGCCGGATAGTCATAACGGGTTTGGGTTGCTCATTGGCCACACACTCACGTACTTTGCCGTGGAGTGCGGTGGCGGCGATGACGGCGCCGCTCCCGCTGCCTCAAGTAGCGATGAGGGCGCGTTGCGCGTGCGTGCGCAGCACAGGGTGACGCTCCCGCACGATTTTGGCACGGCACCGCAGTGCTTCAGCATGGCGAATCGCTCCTTGTACGGCTTTGACATGGCGGTTGTAGGGGCGGGTAGCGGCGTCTTGGCCGTGGTCGTCATGCCTAACTCTGGCGTCGTCTACTTCCCCGGGCGAAACCCCGCCTCGCTGCGCGCGCCCACCACGGCAGCAGCAGCAGACAGGCAGGGCGAGCACCGTGCCGCGCCACAGCCACAGTCGCACTCCTCCGCGAGCACCGTGGGCCCGTCCTCCCTCTCCTCGCCCTTGCTGGGGCAACCCGCTGAGGTGGACCGCGGCGTGGGGACCATCACGTGGATGCGTGACAAGCCGCTTGTCTTCGTCGGCTTCACCTCTGGCAGGGTTGCGTGGTACCACGTGACCCTTGCCTTTCCCGCGCAGCTGCCCAAGACGACCGCGGGGCACGCAGACGCCGCATTATGTGCAGCGTCGGAGCCTGTTGCCAACTTTGCGAGCGGTGCTGCCGGTGGTGGTTACGCGTTTCCGTCGAGCACGTGGATGCAGAGCAGCTTTGCACGGCGCGGCGGTGCCCGGCGGACCCACGAAAACGGGGACGGCGAGGGTGTGCGAGTACGGCTGCAGCTTTCGTGCGCCTTCCAGGAGACGGGGTCCTTCCTCACGAGCGACTGGTTCCCAGCGACCGGGTTCGTGGTGGCTGGGGCGGAGCGGGCGGTGTACGTGTTCTCCACGGAGCAGCCGGGGGCTCCGCTGTGCGCCGTCACGAACATCGGCTGCAGTTTTCTCGCCTGCCACCCCTTCCTGCCTATCCTTGCCTGCCTCTCCTTTGGACGCTCGGCGGATAACGGCACGCGACCAGACGCGTGTGCGCTGCACGTCTTTGAGTGGACGGCCGGCGGCACCCTTTCCCTCGCCGCCGAGAGGCGCACGCTTCATAAAGCTCCGCGCCACGACGTCTACTACGGCTGCTCGTGGAAGTTTGCCGCCGATCGGCAGCTGGCGATCTGCAACCTGGAGGAGGGCACTGTGCATCTGCTGCACCTCGCGAAGGCGGAAGAGGGCCTCGAGGCGGTGCCGCAGGAGGAAGACGCAGGCAACACCGCGGCGCCGCGGCCCGTCTACACGTTCACCCGGGAGCGAGAGAGGCAGCTGCCGCTGCATTCGCTCGTCAACATCGAGTTCCTCTCCGCCGCGCGTGGTGCATGGCTGCGGGAGCACCCGTTGACAGAGCGCATGCCGCAAGTCACAGGGGCACGCGGTAGAGGGCACCGCCCGCCCGACGGGAACTCCGCCGCGAGGAAGGCAGGGGGCCGGCGTGGGGCAGGCGACCGCCGTCGTTGTGGGCGGGAGGGAGGTGTTGGATGCGGCAGACCCACCGCATGCTTTTGCGCGGCCGCAGACGAGGATGCGGGCGTCCGGCAGGGGCTGGGCGTGTTTTCCCGCATCGTTGGCGTCAACTGCGCGGGCGAAGTCACAGCCACTCCGGTGGACGAAGACGCGACGCTCGCCATTTTAGGCCCTGGCCGCTTCGCCGTTGGTTTTTGTGCGTCGGTGTTTGTGGCGGGAGGCGAGGCGGACCCGCTGGACGTGGAGCAGCGCATGCGGCGGCGGTTGGCGGCCGGCTTCGGCGTCCCCGCCGCCGCCAACGTGCAGGCGCTGCGTGCGTGCGTCGACGCGGCCGACGTGGACCTGCGCGTGTTGTGCGCGTACGTCTCCATCCTGGAGACGGTGGGCGCGGTGGGCAGCAGCGGCCCGGTTCCCAGCATCGCCGAGCTCCTCTCGCTGGCAAACGCCCCGAACACGACGAAGCTGATGGCGTTGAATTTGCTGCCGCACGGCATCACCGTCGTGTGTGGCTCCTCCACCTCGCCGAACGACGCGCGCCGGCTGCTGCTGCTGCACCTGCTCGACTGGATCCCGCCGGAGCAGGAGCCCGCCTCCCGCGACGCGGCGTCGGCGTACGCGACTTGCGAGCAGGTGGAGCGCGCGGTGGCGGTGGAGGTGCTCCACAACCAGCGCCCGCGCGCCGTCGCGTTGCTGCAGCGGCGCCAGCAGCTCAACCCGGCGTACGCGACGCTCGCGCGGTTGCTGGAACACCCAGAGTTCATCTGCAGCACGCTCCGCAGCGGGGCGACGGCGGTGCAGGAGTGCTTTCTGAGCCAACTGAGCCCCTGGCTGCAGGTTGTCTTTTTATACGACATGGACCGAACAAAAATATACGCAAACGCCGGTCTGCCGCTGTGGGATCGTGTTGCCATTGCTGTTATTACGGAGTGCGACACGGCACGGCTCTTTTCCATCCTCAGCAGTGCCTTTGCGCCGGAATGTAGCATGCTGCAGCAGCTACTGCTGCTAGAGGGTATTTCCGAGAGCACTTGCCCATTGATGCAGAGAATTGTCGACTGCACCGGGGACTTTCAGTTGGCCGCATGCCTCTTCGCACGCATTGGGGCATGCACTGCGGCCCCCTCCCCTGCTGCTGCTGCTGCAGCACCGCCGAATCTCGTGCCGCGGTGTCGCATGGGCGCAGCAGCAGGGGAAAGAGCGATTGGGGCCACGCAACCGGGCGACTCCGCCCACCCCTGGGAGTTGTGGGCGGCCGCCTACCGCGCCTTCCTCAACGATGAGGGGGAGTTTGTCAAGCGCACCATGTTTGACCTGGCCTGCCGGCAGCTGCGCGAGCTGCACCTCTCGCAGCTCACACCGCCCACGAGCCAGCAGGAGCAGCAGCTGCCACTGGGGCAGCTGGGGGCGCCGCCGCACGCGCGCGATCCCTTCCAACCGCCTCTCCCCGGCTCGTTGCCCGACGCAGCTGCTCAAATTGCCACGCCTGCTACACCACAGCAGCGTCTCTCAGCGTACCCGTTGCTTTCTTCCGACCGCCGTCACTGTTCGGTCTGCTCCTCACTCGTGCCGTTGTGGTGGCAGTGCGCCCAAGACAGTCTGGCGTGGTGCACCGCTTGTCGCCACGGCGGGCACGCGAGTCACCTGCAAGAGTGGTTCTTGACGCACCGCAAGTGCCCAGTGTCCGGGTGCAGCTGCCGTTGTGAACAAGTCGGAATCGAGCCATACGGGGAAGAGGGGCGACGTGCGCCTCCGTAGCCAGCACCGTGTTGGGCACATTTGCCTACGCACATGTATATATATATATATATACATATCCATCTTTCTCGCTTTCTGTGCATACATGTGTGTGTTTCTTTGGGCTGCGCACATCAATCGCCGCCGCCGCCTTCACTGTGGGCTTTCGACGCTGTTTGCGCGGAGCCCCGCTGGGGGGGGGGGGGCGCAGGCCGGGCGCTTCTGCCTCCTCCCCTCTCCTTTATTATTATTTATTTATTTATTTTTATTTTTCGTTTTATTTTCCCCGCGAGGTGGGCGCAGGCATTTGCGGCGTGCGTCTCCCGCGGGGCGTGGGGGAGCGCCGTTCTGTGGGCGGCCGCTCTTCTCTTTTCAACCTCCTCCACCTGTCCCTTCCTTTGCTCTCTTCCCGCACACACACAGAAGGAAAAAGCGAGCTAACGCTGCTTGCCGCTACTGTGCGCTTTGAAGGCTTTGCGGCTAACAACGCACACACACACACACACACACACACACACACACACACACACACACACACACACACACACACACACACACACACACACACACACAC